TTTGAAATTTTTATATTTTGGCTATTTTCAGTGCCAGAATCTGAAATATCCGGTTGTTTTTTATATTTTTTTTTCAAGCTTTTATTTTTTTTTGCATTTGATTGTCAAATTCATGTATTTTATGTTTCAGTTTCTCTAAATTTCTAGTAAAATCAAAGTCCTCTTCCTTTCAATTTTTTTTTGACAATAATCTATATTAATATTTCATTTTTGAAATTTGCTTGCAATTCTTACATAATCATTATCTTGAATCAATCCAATATCATCTGCTTGTGTATTATTTTCTGCTAGAGTTGTTTGTTTAAGCATTTCTGAGATAAAATTGATCGATGGCTGTTTTCTATTTCTCCATTATTTTCAGCTTGCTTAAGTTTGTGATTAGTCAATGATAAATTAGATTTTTATATCAGGAAGCTTTCGAATTCTCTTAATAAATTTTTTTTTTACCTAATTGTCAGTAGCATATTCATTTTCAAGAGAAATTTGATTATCGGTGCTAACCGTTTGTAAAGAATTGACTGCAATATTAATTTGTAAATAAGAATCAGGTAATAATTCGTCAACTTTCTCGTCACTGAGCATAGGTTCAATCAATTTTCCATTATTTTCAGCTTGCTTAAGTTGGTGATTTGTAAATGATAAATTAGATTTTTAGATTAACTTAGTTACAGAAAATTATCAAATTTTTTTAATAAAATTTTCTTATCTGATTATCAGTAACGCATTCATTATCAATTGAAATTTGATTATCGATGCCAACTGCTTGCGAAGTATTGATGGTAACATTGATTGATGAATGAGAGTTAGGTAATAAGGCATTGGTTTTCTCGTTATTTTTAAAGTTATTATTGACATCAGTAACATTAATTGACAAATGAGAATCAGGTAATAATTTATCGGTTTCTTCAACATCATTATTGACATTAATTCTTTGCTAAGGTTGTGATGATTTGTTAATAATTAGTTCTGCTTATTTAATATTATTGAAAATCTTTGTTACCTCCTGATTCTCATTAACATGTAGATATTTTGAAGAATTCTTATTAACCATCAATTTAATAAAAAAAATTAGATATTAAACCATCTATTTCTTAATGTCAATTAACGATTTCTGAAATACCTTCGTCCTTTTTGAAGTTTTAAAATAATCGTTTATGTGACTATCTTCAGTTCATTGACCTTCTTTCAAATTTAATGTATCATTTTCACTTGCTTGGGCATCAAACATTAACTTATTGACTTGCGATAAATTGTCACTATATAGATCCTAAGTTTTATTTTGAAGATATTTTAACTTTACTATACAATTGATCAACAAATATGACAGATTAAAACAAAGTCAGATTAAATTGAAATTAGCATAGTGCAAAAATAAAGAAAGCTATCAAAAATAGCTTTTTGGAGGTTAAATAGAAATCTTAATTTCATTTTAATCCAATTTTGTTATGATCTGTGACAATAAAGATAAATATTTTAATATCCAATACATCTTCACTAGCAATAGATTCTTTCCCCTTCATGTTAGCTAGATCATTAAAGATTTTTCAATAAGTTTTTTCAGAAATTAGAACCACCCCAGGTGCATTCAAGTTTTCGGTATTCTCAGTGCCATCACTTAAGAAAATTTCTGCTAAACACAATTGGTTATTAAAAACAATTTCTTTGATTCCTCCATTAGTAGCTTTCCATATAAGATTAATCGAACTTCTAATAATTTCCTTTTGATTTTCTATAATTTCAACTATTATTCACGGAAATGAGAAAAAAATGAAAATTCAATGTACAATATCTTTATATTCAATAATGAAATTATTTATATTTACAATTTGACTATGATCATATCTTATGAATTTCTTTTATTAAAATTTAATAATGGTGATATCAACTAATGTACCTTATGATCTTGATAGTTTCTTAAATTACATTAGTTTAATGCTCTTTGTCATAGATTACGTTAATATAAAAAATAATCTATTATATAATCATGACGATTTCTAAAATATGTTGTTTAAAAATTTTCTTATACGAATTTTTCGCTTCGAGAGGTGAACAAAAAGGTGATTTAATATATACTCTCTCGTAAAAAAACCATAAATTACATTGTTATTCTATATTATTAACTTTATATAAATGCAAGGGTGGATTATAAAAGTATTCTTTTTTAAGCTAATCAATAATATTTAGTTGGACATTTTAAACTTCAAAAAATGTTTAAAGCTTAAAAAATAATAAGCTTTTATATGAAAATTGCATGCGTTAAATGCTGTTTTAGATTAAGATTGATTCGGACCGAACTCAAAAAAGTCTATTCATACAATTAATATTTTGCAATCACACTATAGTGAACAAATCATATGAATGCAGTCAAGAGCCATAATCATCTATTTTTAGAAGATACATTTTCTCTTGTCCGCACTCATATAAAAGTTTTTCTTTTGATTTACTAATTGACTCTAAAATTTATCATGAGTTGACAGTTATATCAAAATCATTAACATATCGATAAATAAGATATTTATTGAGAATATTATTGTAAAAAAAAATACTTTTTGTTTAATTATATTATTTAATGGATCAAAATAATTTTTTTTGGTTGAAATTCAAGTTCTGAATTTGATTTTGTATGTTTGGAATATATTTGAAAAAGATTATGATCCTGTCAATTAATAATAAATATTGTATCGTCTGTAGAGATGTTAAGTAGTCAGACCACTTTTGAATTTTACAATATAATTTATACGTGACTAACTAGTTTAATTAGTTAGTTTGTATAATAAATTTAATCAGTTTAAAATCTCTAATAGTCTATAAAATAAGATTTAAACCCATATTTTTGCTGCGAAAAGCTCATTTACAATGTTGGTAAAGCTTCTTATCTTTTATATACGGTTGATATATCTAATGAGATCTGAACAGTATCTGCTTGGTTTTTGCAAATGTCTTTACTATAAACCCAAATAAAGATGAAGTGGTAAAATTCATATCTACTCTTTTACTAATAATTCTAACCCTAATCTTATAATAAACTAGTTAAAATTTCAGCATTAGTAATTTTAATATTAGCTGCTACAATAAATAAAAGAGACATTTAAATACACAAATTGGCATAAGTTAGGAATTACTACCGCTTGATCACAACTAGCTCGGAACTAAGGTTTCTAAACTTGAATGGATAAGAAAAAAATGCATATAGAAGAAACAATTTCACCTTGATTTAATAATTAACATTGGTCTTCAATAATTGAAATAATATGTTACATACTGTATCATCTGCCAAAATTTGATACGTATACTATTATTTATTTTATTTATTATTCTTTTTGTGCTTACTTACTAATGTACAAAGTTAACAGTATATAATTAAGTGAGAGCTCAGGACACATTGCATATTCTTATTATTATAGATTAAAAATAAAAATATCTAACTTTGCAAGCAGTTTAATTTTTTACTAGCATCGAGTTTTTACAGTACTAGAATATCTAGACAAATGTTACTACTTGATGTAACAATGTAATTTTAACAAATATAAGATTTATTCACAGCTTTTTCTTATATTTTTGAAACCATAGATGTTTTAAGATATCTTTCAAAGATAGACATTGTTTCAGGTCACGTCATAGTAACTATATTTGTAATCAGAAAATTAAAATCAATACTTAACTTCGTTAGTCAAAATACTCTAAGTATTTAAAGAATAGTTACCTAGTTAATCAAGTCACAAGCCTCAAATGACAAATGATCAGGTAGGGTGAACTCAACTTTGGCTATTCATTTATATATTTCAATATGACCAAGTTCTTCAAATGTTACGGTACTAGTTAGAAGTTCATAGCACAAAACACCAAGTGACCAAATATCGATCTTTTCATCATATTCTTTACCTTCAATCATTTCTGGTGGAAGATAATCCAATATACCACAAAATGTTTTACGCCTAATATATTAAAGCAAAACTAATTGAACAAACATTCTTTTAAATGAAAATTGATATATATAACTTATCTTTGACTAGTGTGTATAGACCATCCAAAATCTCTAATCTTAATCTCATCATTCAAATCTATCAACAAATTTTCTGGTTTTATATCCCGATGAATAATGTGTTTTCGGTGAATATAATTTAAGTCTCCAACTATTTGTACAACATACTATGTTAGAAAAGAAAAAACTCATATTATTTTCAGAAAACATTTCTTTATTCAAAATAATTTAATAAACATACCCTTGATGCTTTTTTTTCTTTAAGTCTACCTGATTTTACAAGTTTTTTATAAAGTTCTCCTTTGGCTGCATATTCAAGAATCAAAGCAAAGTATATATTATCTTGAAAATGCCCAAGAAGTCAAAAAATGTTTGGATGCCTATTGTATTTAAGCATTTATCCAGTCATTTAAAGGTTATCATATATATTTATATATATTATTCGTTTGTTACCTTAGATTGGCCTGAATCTCTATTTCACATCTCAATTGTCTTTCAGCATTTTCTTTAATTAGTTCTTTAATAGATAGCACTTTCAATATTATTATATAGCCGCTCATTTTTTTCTCTTGCAATATAAACATGGCCAAATTGTCCTTTACCAATACTACGTCCAATATCAAACCTTTTTAATGACATTTGGGGTACTCTATTAGAGAATATAAAATATTAATTTATACCACTCATGTAATCCAAACCAGATTAAATATTTGTGTCATTACCTAATAGGTGAACTAATAGTAATTTCTTTCTGATATTCTTCATTATTCTTTTGATCCATGTGTGAGATTAAAGTATGTTTTGATTTGTCTAATTGTGTTATGGTAAACCAAATTATGATTTATCATTGGCTAATTTATTGTCGATTATTATATGACCCAAAAAATGTAGCGGTAGAGTTTTGGGTTACAGCAAATGATCGACAAGGATTAAAAAGTTTTAAATTAGATAACTGCACGATGTAGTCACCTAAAACCAGAAATAGAAATATGTATTTGTTTTAAAAAAAAATTTTATAAAATATAATTATTATAATTTGTAAAGTTATATTAAAATAATGATTTATATTTGTTTTAATGTTTTTTTTTTAAAATAATTAGAGTTTAGTATAAATAATAATAAAATACATAATTATAAGATAGTAAAAATTGAATTTATATAATTAATTAATAGATATAAATAGTTAAAAAGATGATTTGTGCATGTTGATCTAAGTTTGGTGATCAGAAAATGTCGAAGGATGTTTCTCCTAGCAAGGACTAG